CTGGCAGCCGCGGGGCATTTGTGAGTCCGCTACTCCAGGTAGAGGTTTTAGGTATTCTCTCAGCGTTTTGTTACGTTTATTTCTTTAAAATTTGTAAAATGACACATTTCAGTGCGGGAATTAAATTCTCAAAAACCAACCAAGCAGACTGGAAACAACCCTTAATCTTTGGCTGGTCCAAACCCCTGTCATAGATTAAACTGTTTCTTGCTTGCATGGTGAGCTAAAATATAGGAAGAAGCTTGAATTAGAGGATAAATTTTTCTGCATGAAAGTGCAAGGCTGGTATCTGTGTATAAGAGAGGTCAAAACCACAGATGGAGTGATGTCATTAATACCACGGGCCTTTGCAGTGTCTTGGTTGTCTCCTGCCGCGCGTAGCGGGACTTAAACTCTCTGCATCGAAAGCAGGCAGAGGTTTTTTCCCGGGGCGGGATGCTGCTGCAGGTGGGATGGCTGCGAGGTGTCCGAGGACCAAAAATGTGCTTTGCATGGGAAGAGGCTGTGCTGGCCGCCTCGGTGGAAACCCAAAGGCTGATGGTTTGACCAGGGCTGGGGCAGAGCTGGGCGGGTGCAGTGTGGTCCCAGTGAGTCCAGCCTGTGCCAGGGGGCAGCTTCCCTCCCAGGGGAAGGACTCGTGGGTGTGAGCCTGCATTGACAAAGGTGAAATAAGTTCCGTCGTTGGCCCGAGCAGATCTGCATCTGCCTCGTCCCTCCCTCCGGGGTGCTCAGTCACTAAGCAGAACTCTTATTTTGCTGCTTTTTGGTTTTGTGTTTTTTTTTTTTTTTTTAATTTAAAGTAGGGCACAAAATGAACTATGCTAACGCCTCAGTGCAAGTCACCTTCCTGTAATGATGTAATGAAGGAATACAAATATCGAAGGTTATTTGCAGGGAAGGGAGTGGGGGAGTTTGATTACGAGATTAGAGATTTTCAGACATCCAGTGTTATTTTATTTGGCTTCTAGCAGTGTAGGATGGGATGGCAGAGTCTTGTGCGTTTCCTCATACCTAGCTGTGCTCAGGAAACCCCAGAACCTGCTTGCGTACCGCACAGCGCTCGTGTTATTTCCATTGAAATTGGGTCATTTTTCCTGTTCTGTTTCCAGTAATCATTTGTAATGACAGAGCAGGTGCTGTGGGTAAAGCGGTGTGTCCGGATTCAGGTTAAAAAGTGGAAAAGATTTACAGATGATTTCTTCTACTTTTTTTTTTTTTTTTTTTTGAAGTGACCTGTTTTGTATTACGTGAAGGATTTATAACATCAAGATTCATGACTTGGCTGGCCAGACCTTCAGGAGAGCTGCACGGCTCCCTGTGCCGAGCATCCCAGGGATGGGACCATCCCTAGGGTGTGCAGGGAGCTCCCCGTCCTCCCCGCCAGCTGAGCAGGGAGATGCTGCTGAGCTGATGCCTGATGATCTCAGGTCTGCAGTGAGGATGGCAGATCCCCTCGGGGAGGGTCCCCTTTGAGAAGACACAGTCCTGGGGACTTGTCACCAGGGTGGGCAGAGCATCCCGTCATCCCAGCTGGGTCAGGTTGAAGACCACGGGCCTGGAGTTGAGCACGGGACCGGCACCAAGGCGTGTAGCACTTTTAGGTTGTTTAAGTTGTTCTCTTAGGCAACCAACATCTACAGAAACCTACTACTAACCGAGAAGGCATGTTCTCTATTTTGATGCGTTTAGAGTGTATTAATGCCCACTTACCATGCGTTTCACATGTCATTTTTTTCAGTTTTGCATGGCACCGTGCTCCTTTGCATGTTGATAGTGCTCTAAAACCAGTACGGAGGGTGTGCCACATTAATCGCAAGACTAACATTTAAATGTGTTTTAGAATTGTGGATTTAATGAACTTGGTCAATAAAATCATCAGTCTCTCACACTCATCTTCTCTTTCTTTGCATATTCATTGTAGAGGATGTCTTATATCTTAAAGGTAAGGGTAGATACATCTCTTTGGCTTATTGTGGCAAAGAATGCTTGTTCCTGTTCACGCTTCTCGTGCTTGCATGACCCTAATTTTGCCTGGCTGTATCAAGAAGTTACCGTGAGAGTCCGTAGTAACTGGCAAATACATTTCAAGATAACTCTTGAGAAGGATTTAGCATTATGGTCCTTAAACTTCCTGGCATGCCTCTTCTCCTGCTTAAAATCCGTATTGCATGTAACTAATACACTAATTCTCTCCAAACAAGCGCAGCTTGTAACGCAGCGAAGGAGGTAAAAGCTTGTGTTTCTTACTTGTGGAGTCATAGCAAGCACTAACTCTGTGTGTGTTTGTTTGTTCTCTGGGTATGTGTGTGGGGGATTTATACTCTGGAACAAATTGTCTGCACTTAGAAGCAATGTTATTTGCCAACTGTTTTATACTAGAAATGAAATCAAGTCAAGGAACTAAACAGCATTATAGGGTTTTCTAACGAAGACTGTGGAGTTGGTAAGCAGACTCAAAATGCTGTGAATGTGTTTGAATTCTTTGGCTAAAGGTTCTTAGCCGAGGGCTGAATTTGCTAGAGGAGCTCGTCCTGGCCCAGACCTGCAGGTGCAATTCCCACTGCTGTTCCAGGGAGCAGCAGACCACGGCTTCCCACCTGGGAAAGCCAAAAAGCGTAATTTCCCTCGACTTTGTCATTGTCTGCTTTGTAGTTGTGTAATGTGTTGTGCGCGATGGGGATAGCTGCAGGCAGCTGCGCGGCTCCGCTGGTCGAGCTGCCTTTGGTTCTGGTTAAACACAAGAGTCTGTTTCTCTGTAGGATTCGAGCAAAAGTCCAAAAACAATGAAGAAGTTTCTTCCTAAAAGGAAAACTGAGAGAAAACCATCTGATGAAGAGTTTGTTATTCGGAAAAGTAAGTGTTGTGGTTTTTCACTTTTTTTTGGAGATCTCTGTGTACTCCAGGAGACTTTGAGCAGAGCCTTTCTGACGGTGCAGGATGGGACCGGGTGCTCACGTTGTGAGCAACTCTGTGTGCTGCTGAGCATGGGAGGCTTCTGAAAGCCCACTGGTCCTCAGCCTCTGACAGATTCCCTCCCAGTTATGACTACCAGACGTGCCACCACCCTCCTCGTGACTGCTACGGGTTGTGAGTGGTCTTGTTCTGAGTATGAAGCCAAGGAACTACTTCCAAGTAGTTAAAAACTGCAGTAAAGCTGCACATCAACAGTTGTCAAAATATATCTGAGAGCTGGGACAAACCCTCACCTTGGCTGTGCCAGCAGGTCCTGGAACAGTTTCCATGGGGGATCAGGGAACAAAAAAAAGGGCCTTATCCCTGCAGGGATGTCCATCTGCAAAGAGGGCTGTCCTGACAGATCCCTGAAGCCCACGTGAGACATTCCTCGAGGGTTTTATACGAAAGGCCATGGTGACCCAGTGATGAGCTGCTGCAGGGTACAGCTTGAAGGTCAGTTGTCTCCCTCAAGAAGTGGGAACTGAGCTGAGGCTGGAAATGAAGACTTCACGTTTCCAAGTCCTGCTCTGACACAGCTGTACCAGACACCTTGCAGGGTGTCTGCCTGCCCATCTCCGGGCGCTCCCTGCGCCCAAAGTCAGGCATCACCCCCTGAGTTTTGCAGAGATGAGCAGCTAGAAGTGCTTTTTCATTTTCAGTCGTGGTCCTTGATGCCACAGGACATTGCAAAGGCCAGAAAACATGAAGGACCTCAAAAGGGAATTAGGCAAAATCCCAGACACTTTCTTCTCTTAAGGGACTTGGGAGCAAAGGCTGGGAGAGATGATGCCAGAGCACTTTGCGTTTTGTCATAGCTGCTGTTTGCAATGTCTTACAGGTACTGCTGCGCTGGAAGAAGATGCTCAGATCCTGAAGGTGATCGAGGCATACTGCACTGGGGCAGGCTTCCAGCAAGCTCTCAGCTCAGGTGGGCACACAACCACATTGCTGAGTTCTTACTCTGCCTGCAACGCTGATAACCCCTCTGGGAAAAGAAAAAAACAGATGGTTGCATCATACAGCAACGAGACTCATGCTAGGAAACCGTGTGGTGTTCAATCTTCAAGATAAGGGAGTTTCATCTACCCAGTGGTTTAGTTGCCATTGTTTTTCTTCTAAACACAGAGAATGAAGCAGGTAGGAGGGCAGATGAGACACGGCTATTTCACCAGCACTTGTTAGGAATTAAGCAAACTTAGTGAGTGCCTGTGGCTGTCAGCACTGAAAACCTGATGGTAATCTCAGGTTGCATATAGCTTTAGAAAGGAAGCATGAATATTATCTCTCAATCAGCTGCGTGCTTAAGAACAAGCTACTTCATAAGAACCTATCTAACATCTTCGACTCTGGAAATGCGGCTATTTATCGTTGCTGGTGAGATGTTGAATTAAATCACTGAACTATCAAATAATGGCACATTTAAAAAAGGGAGACCGTGTTTCTTCTGAAAGCTCCCGACCCTAATGGAATGATTTCGTTTATAAGTCATGACGTAGCCTTAGATGCAAGGAGCGCTCCTGAAAACTCTCCACTTGCTGCTTTAGCTCCAGGGTGGCACAAGCCCGTAATTAACCATGGCAGACAGCCAGTGGCCACTCAAGCCCCGCGTCCCCAGTGTGTCCCCGGGCTCGCAGAGGAGCCGGGAGAACGAGGGCTGCTGCCTGCAGAGCACCCTGGGCATCAGCCAAAGTCTCCCTTTTTCTTCCTGATGAGCAATTCTTGTACACAGGCTCCCGTAAAGACTCCATCCCCCAAGTCCTTCTTCCTGAGGAAGAGAAAATCATCGTGGAGGAGACACGAAGCAACGGCCAGACTGTCACGGAGGAAAAGTAAGCGTGGCTGCTCTCCGCTCGCAGATTCCTGTGTTGCTTTTTGGGAAGATGCTAAAAACCAACGCCCTCGCCTTCTGCATCTCCGCAGCGGAGCGCGGCTGCTGTCGCCGGCTGCTGCCTGAGTCCTGGCAAGAACCACCAGCAATTTCGGTTGCATTTTTGTCCCTTTTTAAGAGCAGAGTCGCCTTCCCAGCAGCTCTGACGTGGCTGTAGCCCTCTGGGAGTCTGTGCGTCGGGTCCCGAGAGCCAATTTATCGAGTCCCAGAGCTTGTCCAGATGTAGCTAATGGGGTCAGGGAGGCCAGAACCAAACAAGTGGTTTTATTTTATTTATTTAATTTTATTTTAATTTATGTTAGTTATTTTTCTATTTTATTTTTAAACTACTGACATGCTGGGCTGCTTCGACCCCTTGGGAACCTGCCTGGCACCCCGTCTGTGAGTGCTCCCAGCTTGTTACGTAGCTTCAGCATCTGGATGACAGCGCTGATGTGCTCCTTTTCTAACCCGGACAGCACGTTCCTTTCATGCTTGTTTTTTTACAGCATGTCCTCAAGGACTCGAGGCCGTTTTTCGAAAGATGCTCAAGCGTCTTCAGTTTTAAAATCATTGTTATTTATTGCAGTAGCGTAAACAAGGAAGCCAAAGCCACAGACCTTTGTTGATAACTTCAAGATAGCTGAACCAGGTATTTTTCTTGAGTTTTGAGAAAAGAGCCCTGAATTTTGGACCTGTAAATGCTCCTGGGCTGTTTCCAGAGTCCCCTTGCAGGCAGCAGTGATAGCAGCAGCCTAATGTTCTCAAAGCAGAAGCTGGAAGCACCTTCCCCATCAGCATCTCACTCACAAAAGCTCCCATGCAGTTGCTGTTTTGCTGCTTTCCAGCTCTTTTTATTTCTTTTTTTTTTTTTTTGTCATTTCTCTTTGCAGGAGCCTTGTTGACACGGTTTATGCACTGAAAGATGAAGTCAAAGAACTGAAACAGGTAATCGGAGTGGGGTTGTTTGTGCTGGGAGTTGAGCAAAAGCCAGCCAGGCTGCGCTGGGTCATCGTCTTTGACTGGTCAGTGCCCACGAAAAGTCTTGCCGATGCCGGTCCAATCCTGCAGCTCCCTGAATCACCGTTAGTTTTCTCCTGGTTTAGCTCCCTGAACGTGCTCACCGAACGGTTGCTTGAGCACCAGAGCCAGCAAGAAGGAAGGAGTATTCGGTCTTTGTGGTAACATGAAACTTTCTCCCTACTCTAAAAACTCCTTCGACTTGACTGTTCATTTTGTAGGGGTCTGGTGGATAGTAATTCTTGTAGACTCAGAGGAAATGTGTCCTCCTCCCTCCAGCCCCAAGCTTGGAGGTGGGAGAGGCCACCCCAGGAGGACAGGGTCCTCCAACCTAAGCTAAAATTAGGCTTCCAGGAGGATGCTTCTGCCAGCTCAAAGTCACTGGGACTTTTGTGCAGGTCCGTAAGGTAGTAAGGGTCTGCTTGAGTGGATTGGACCACAAGTAACCCGTAGTGTTCATCCTCACCAGCCCACGGTGACCTGTCAAGTGTCCCTGATGTTTCATCACCTCTCAGGCACCAGGCACATGGAAGTACCTCGTGCCATAAAGTGCACTGGCTTTAACTGGATCTTTATTCCTTTATTTTTCACCTCGCAGGAGAACAAAAGGATGAAGCAGTGTTTGGAGGAAGAGCTTAAATCCAGGAAGGACTTGGAGAAGCTGGTTAGAAGGCTGCTGAAGCAGACGGACGAGTGTGGCAGGGAGGACACGGGGCGCAAGTCGTCCCTGATCGCCTGAGCTCGGGGAGAAGCTGCTGGCAGTGGTGTGTGACCTCAGGTGTTTTTTGGGAAGCGGAACTGGATCCTTTGCCTCTTCTTGCTCCTTATTTTGTCGGTTTAGGGAATTTTGTTACAAAAAGAAAAAAGTTACAGAGAAAAAAAAATAGTTTTTCTTCCATCCAGTAAGGAAATAAACCAGAAACAATCACAACTAAACCAGTAAGCAAGCGGTCCATGATTCACAATTCATCTGCAGCAACTAATACCTCATCGTACCTGCTACTGGGAGCAAATACAAACTCTGCTAGTGATTGCTGCTCACAAAGGGTTTGGCAGCAGTTTCCTAGAGGAAGCTTAAGCACTTTTTAATGCTTTCATTCTTTTCAAAAGCACCGGTACCTATTTATTGAATGAAAACATTATCAAGGCGGCATTGAGCAGAAACCAAAAAGCACCGCGCTCCTCGTGTCAGATAATCACGACTGGGGAAGCTTTTCCCATCCACCTCCTTATTTTCCCCGTTAGTTGACTGTAGCGAACTAGAGCCCAGCAATACTGTGGTTCCCGTGTGGCCTTGATACTGATTAAAATGTGCAATTAACGTGAAGACATTTGAAGTCCGTGGGGAAGTCAGATGCGGAGCACCTGTCAGAGCGCATGGGAAGGTATGTTGCACAGTACTGCCTCCTCCTAACAGCTCGTGATCAGCACAACAGGTAACTGCTGTTCTGCCCCCCCCAGCCCTTTTCTTACGCATGACCTGTAACTCCTACCCCCTGCTTCGTTTTCACGTTGAGCGTCCAGGTATCGTATGAGTTGATAGTTTTGCTGTGCTTCCCCTTGCAGGACACGCTTTTCTCTTGTATGAAATGTAGACAGTGCTTGGCAAAAAAAAACAACCTCCAAATGCGTTGGTTCCCTGCTCCTTTCTGCCCGCCTTAGGCTCTCCATCGCTCCTTCCCGCCAGATGGGAACGTAGCCAACGGCCACTTCTCCCTGCATTGCCCCGAAGGGGCTTTGGGCTACGAAAAAGGAGTTTTCTCTTGGGATAGGAAAGCTATTTATGTTTATGCTTTGACAAGAGCTGGAACGCTCCTGGGGCAAGGACGTGCAACACCCTTCCAGATCCCTGCACAGCTCGTTGAGCACAGCACGCAGGCAACATGCATATGTATCGGCTATCTTCATGTTACTTGGTGTTATACCCTAGTTTAGAACTGGTGTTTTCCTTCCTTCCTTAGCACCGTTATAAAAGTAACCTTCTGTTAATGATAAGTCTTACGTATATCACAGGGCAGCACGGTCCCAGGGCGTGCAGACACACCACAGCTCATTACAGTTGTACTGTTAACGTTGGTCATGAAGGACGTAATAGAGGCAATAATTACAGCTCCCTCCTTGCAATTGAAATTTATCCAGAACATAGCAAACAGTGTTTGGGGAGAGCTAGACTCCAAAACATCACAAGGAGTATAAAAAGAAAACCTCTTTAAGCTTTTTCTAGGACAAAACAGAGGTCTTTTTTTTTCTCTGGCTACATTTGCCATCTCCAGAGCATCCCAGCTGGAGGGTAGCTCCCCACATCCCTGCCCAGACATGCAGTTGAGTCGTTTGGTCAGTGGTCAAGCCCTGCTGTGCTGGTTAATCGTTTTCCAAGATAACGACCTTCACCGCACACTGAGCAGCTCACGCCACTGTTCCGGGGTGCCATGCCCAGGCACCCCAGCCCTGCCCTGGCACCCAGCCCTGCCCAGGCACCCTGGCCATGCCCAGGCACCCTAGCTGTACCTGGGCACCCCAGCCCTGCCCAGGCACCGCAGCCGTGCCCACCCAAAGGTGGGCTGGGGACCAGGCTCGTGACGTGCAGCCGGTGCAGGGAAGCAAACCAAGGGCCATTTACACTCCAAGGAGAGGGTAGAAACGTTTCCTCGCTGCCCCCTGGTTCAGCTGGAACCCGTGCCGTGTACATGTGCATGTTTGTAAGACGTAATGTGCTGGAGGGCACACTGGGACTTTTTGGATCAAGCGTTTGTCAAGAGCTAGAAGCCAAAAAAAGACAAGAAAATAAAATAAAAAGGAAAAGAAGCCATGCCGGATGGACAGCAATGTTTCCATATTTACTATGTTTACAGTGCTTTGTAAATAGGTTCCAGAGAGTCTGTCTTTAGATGGATGTTGTGTCGGCTGCCTTCCAGTTTATCTTTGTCATGTAGGTTTATTTACTGTAACTACTTATGCAAGGTCAACTTTTCTAACATGTTTTTATTTTGAACAGTTTTTTAATCGACATTTTCAACAAATAAAGACGGATAAAAATCACTTCTTAGCTCTCGGTGCTGCTTCCTTTGCTTCTACCACAAAAGCAAAACCAGTCCGCTTGCTCTGCGCATCCCTGGCTTGCTCAGAATGCCGGCGGCTGCATCATCCACCCTCCGGTTTACTGGATGCGGGTGGGGATACTGGTGAGGATGGTGATGCTGGCACTCGGGCTGTTGCTCCCACCATCACCCAGACCTGCAGCAGGGAAAGGCACCTGATCCCAGGGGAAGGAGATGCATTTCCATCCCTCACTTGCACTTTGCTAACAAGGATGCTTTACGGAGAACCAGCTGCTCTCCGCTGCACCAGCATGTTGCTGTAGATAAGCGACTTCCTGCCTGTTTGAGATTTTTTTTTTTTTAGTTAGTTAGTGTGTGTTTTTTTTCTGGAGATTAGGTGTGGTGACAGGATTTCCTTTGGTCTACCGCTTGGACAAGACCTCTCCTGCACACTGATGTTTAACTCTTTCATAGAGACGAGCTGTGCGCTCAGCCTGCAGCCAAAGTGAGAGGATGGAGGGCAGGAGGGCCAGACCCTGCTCTCCCTCCCCAAACACAGTAGTCAGAGTGGGGAAAAAGAACAAGTAAAAGACACTCTGGTCTTGGGTGCATCGTGGAGAAACACTGAAGTCTGCAAGGGAGCCCTCTTGAACTCCAGTGGCACTTGGGGGAATTATTGCAGAGGCAGAGCACGGCTGCACCTGGACCTGAGTACCCCAGAGCCTGCATGGGGCAGAAGAGGAAGGACACATCTCCCAGGCTCATTTTGAGGGGAGCATCTCCATTCTCAGGTCCCTGTAAGGCCAGATCCAGACCCTCCATCCTGCCCTCCTGCTGACTATGAGGTCCCTTTGTCCCCCTCTCTTATACCATCTTCCCAGATGACCCCTTTGCATGACCCAACTCCAATGCAGGCAGCACCAGCATCCTCCAAGCAGTGGAGTTTGGTTCCAAATGACCATCAATGTGGAAAAAACAGAAAAAAAACCCCAAACAACAGCTCAATCTGCACAGCACAAGCCACCACCACAGCTGGGGATGCCCTGGAGGTGCCCATTCATGGTGGCCTGCTTCTGCTCACTGCTCCAGTACAGCACTGCTTCACGGCACAGCTGCCCCCGAGCCCAGACTAAAACCGGGGGAGAAGTGTCCATTGTCCCCGGGCAGGGGTGCGTGCAATGGGTTTGGCCTAGAAGAAATGGAGACCCTGCCAATGAGGACCCTGCCCTGGCCAGGGGCAAGGGCTGTCACCGAGCAAGGGGTGCTGAGGTGAGGCTGGCACCCAATGCCTAACTGGGAAGGGGGATAAAAAAAAAAAGACCCTAAAGTAGCACACGGAGATGCTGGGACAGGTTGGGACAGGCTTGTCACCCACATGGCCACTCTGCACAGCCACATAGCACATGGACAGCTGTCCTCCAGCTCCTGCTGCTCAGCAGTCCTCAGGTCAGCAGCATGACCCCACTTGGAAACTGGCATCTCAACCTTTTGAGAAAAAAAAAAAAAAAAAATCTCATTTCTTTTAAAAAACTAAAAAAAAATAATACACTTCCCAGTGAATTCAGTGTGTCTTGAGCCATGTAATCACCTCTCCCAGATGACCATGCTGCTGCGTGCTCCTGCCACTGCTCACCCATCACCCCTGTGCCAATCCTGCTGATGTGCTCCACGTCCTCATCGCCCTCATCCCCTTGTCCCCTCTTTACTCAGAAAGGAGAGCAAAAATCAGTCCAGAAACCATAAAATCCACAGCTCAAGGAGTGACAGTGAGGCCCCACGTCAAGGGAAAAAAAAAAATCAATTAAAATAAAATCAATGTATTGACGACCTTCAAACTTTCCACAAGGAGAGGAAACCTGCACCCGCCACGGCACGGGGCAGGGGCTGGGGAGGAGAACAAAGGTGCTCGGGAGAAGGCCACGGCTGGATGGTGGCAGTCGCATCTCCTCCCCTCCCACGCGCTGCCTCACGTCTGAATCCCACGGGCTATTTTTGGCAAGCAAAGAAACAGAGGCAAGCAACAAAAGCCCGGGGAAAGGCAGCAGTGCGGGCAGGGGGCTGGGGCTGGGCAGGGGAGGCGGCAGGTGGCATTTGCTGCTCTCACCGCAGGATTGCTTGAGTTGCTTTATGCCTAATTTTTTCTCCCCTATTGAACTGTTTCCCCGAACCGCACGTGAAAATCTATTTCTCCGTGCGATTTGCAGCCTCTGGATCTCTTCTCAGTGATTCAGGCCTGGTTTACAGCCCAGCACACACCCTCTGGCAAGTGCTCCTGGCCACCCAAGCTGGGGGCTGCAGGGGGTTTCAAGGCTGTGTTCCCCGTACCTGTAACCAGCAGCATTTCTGCTCCTGACGGCTCTGGGCACCCAAGAAGGGCCACAGCCATGCTCCTCGCAGCTCTCCCCTCCTCTCCCCAGCTGCTCGCTCCCACCCAGCTTTTTCCCCTTTCTCAGCCCATGCTGGTTTGTGTGGTCTTTGGTCTCTCCTGTGGCTCCCACCCACGCTCCCAGCGCAGCTGCATACCTCCACTTCCACCAGGGAGGTTTGGACCACAGGATCTCACCTTGTGCAGCATCCATCCATCTGTCTCTGTGCTCCAGAGTAGACATGTCTCTGCAGGCTCCATGACCCTAGGGCAGGCAGGAATAGTCCTTTTCCAGCCGGGTGTCCTAAATATCCTTAAATTAACCCCCACCCCTCTGCTCCACAGCTGTGTCGGGGGCACAAGCCTCTGGGCCTCACTGCCTTCCCAGGGCAGGGTGATCTCTAATCCATCTTCCAGCCAAAATGCCTGTGGTGCTGCCTGGTCCTGGCAC